TCACCAGAACCAGGGAGGTGATTGAGAAACTGCCTCCTGACAGCTTCCTCCTAGATAGGGAAATGGGCAAGACATGGCTTTGTGACAACTCCTCACAAGACTGCCTATTTTGCTGTGCTTTTGAGAGCATCAAAGGATATTCCACCAAGAGTTCCATCAGACTGTGGTTGAGTCTTGCCTAGGTGGCCTATGTGGAGATACATAACATTGCCAGAGTTTCCTGACACCCTTTATCAGATTAAGGAAGTTTCTTGCTATACCTAATTTTCTTTTTCCTTTTCTTTTTTTCTTTCTTTCTTTTTTTTTTTTTTTTTTTTTTTGAGACAGTGTTTTGCTCTTGTTGTTCCCCAGGCTGGAGTGCAGTGGCGCGATCTCGGCTCACTGCAACCTCTGCCTCCCGGGTTCAAGCAATTCTCCCACCTCAGCCTCCTGAGTAGCTGAGATTACAGGACTGCGCCACCATGCCCAGCTAATTTTTTGTATTTTAGTAGAGACGGGTTTTCATCATGTTGGCCAGGCTGGTCTTGAACTCCTGACCTCAGGTGATCCACCCTCCTTGGCCTCCTAAAGCGCAGGGATTACAGGCGTGAGCCACCGTGCCTGACCTGCTATACCTAATTTTCTAAGAGTTTTAACGTGAATAAATATTGAATTTTATCAAATAGCACTTTTTTCTTCTATTGACAAGAGCATTTTTTTCTCGTTGAACTTGCTGCTCTGTCTGAAATGCTGTCCTTCCTCCTCAACTTTTCTGACGAACATCCATTCATCTTTCAATATTCAACTTGGATTTTGCCTCTAGTCTGGAAGCCTTCTCAGGTATATCTTCCCCACTTAGGTACCTCTTATCTCGCTCCTCCACAATCTTCACCATACCTCTATATGAGTATTTACTACACTGTATTATTTAATTTGTTTTATTTCTCTGTCTTGTCCAGTTAACTTCGAGCTCTTCAAAGGCAGGGACTGTGTCTTTTTCTTTTCTATATCCCTAATACAAGGATTGTCTTATAAGAATCATGCAACCAATGTTTGTGCAATATATTTACTGCTCATTCGTTCAACAAATAGTTATTAATCATCCTGCGTTCTAGGATTTGTGAATGAACATGACAAGAGAGGGGATGAATAAGCCTGTAGGTGGCAGTATTAGTGACAGCCACTGAGTAGAACTGGAGAAGGAAGAGGCTGACATGAAGATGACTCCCCTAAGTCTTTTCATTTCTTCTGTTCAGCATATTCCTGTTGGGAGATGAGGGGTAGAATTTGGACAGGTAGAGCTATTATGTGGGAGCATGGAGCCAGATTTCCAATGCAAACCTGAGCCCCAAATTCATGTTCTTTATGACTTGATTCCTCTCTTGCCCTTAGGAATGATTGCATAGTTCTGGCTCTGAAATGTCATAAAGAAGACGTCTCAATGAAGGTGAAAGAAACTCATCCAGATGCATATATAATAAATAAATCGTCGACCACAGGTAATAACACATAACTGCCAATTTACCTTTTGTGAAGGCTGGCACTTTTCTAAGGCATGATTTTTTAGAGATTACTTTCCTTTAGGTTACTTGCCACTTAATTGTGTGCCCCTGAGAATGTTATTTTCCTTTTGAAATGAAAGTTATTTTATTTTATTTTATTATTTTTACTTTTTTGAGATGGAGTCTCACTCTGTCACCCAGGCTGGAGTGCAGTGGTGCCATCTCGGTTCACTGCAACCTCCACCTCCCAGGTTCAAGTGATTCTTCTGCCCCAGCCTCCCAAGTATGGGACCACAGGTGCCCGCCACCAAGCCCAGCTAATTTTTGTAATTTTAGTAGAGATCAGGTTTCACTGTGCTGGCCAGGCTGGTCTCAAACTCCTGACCTCAGGTGATCCACCTGCCTTGGCCTCCCAAACTGCTAGGATTACAGGCGTGAGCCACCGCGCCTGGCTGAAATGAAAGTTATTTTAAATTTGAGACGTCCATTAAAAGAAAACTTGAAAGCAACTGGAATTTGATGAAAGTTACTTCATAAAGTAATTGAAAGGACTGAAAATGAGACAATGCATACGAAATAACCTAGCATAGTGACTGACACTAGGTGGGAACTGCAGAGGTGTTTACTTTAGTTGATTGTAAGCATTTTATTTGAGGTCTCACTCCCGTGTGACTACACTCTGTTGCATGTCTTGTTTGATACATTATACCTAAGTATTTCATACATGAAGATGAAAGGAAGCAAGAATTAGTGGAAAGAATATGGTTTTGGAATAAAAGCAGATCTTGCTTTGACTGCTGTTTCTGTCATTTCTTGGGTGTCCTATGCAGGTCACTTACTTTCGCTTAGCTTCAGTTTCCCAATATGAAAAAATAGGGTGAGTGCTCGCTTCGGCAGCACATATACTAAAATTGGAACGATACAGAGAAGATTAGCATGGCCCCTGCGCAAGGATGACACGCAAATTCGTGAAGCGTTCCATATTTTTGAATTGCACTGGGAGTTACACCTGATGTAAATGACGAGTTGATGGGTGCTGACGAGTTGATGGGTGCAGCACACCAACATGGCACAAGTATACATATGTAACAAACCTGCACGTGATGCACATGTACCCTAGAACTGAAAGTACAATAATAATAAAAAAAAAAAAAGAAAGAAAAAATAGGGTGAGTAGGAATTGCCTTCCATGGTTGTGATGAAGATTAAATGAGGTAATGTCTATAAATTGTGAAGTTTGGTACATTATAGCATTATTAATATGGGACTGACATAGCAACCTTAGTTGTTATGTGCTTCAATTCTTTTTCAAATAATAAGGAGCTTCCCTTGTGTTCCTCAATGGGCTAGAATTTAGTGTGTGGAATATATGTCCCTGGACAAAGTTAACCGGTAAGTATAGAGATCAAATTCATGATGGATTATCTTTGAGTGCCTCAAGAGCTGGCCAACCCAGGTGTTTTTGTGTCCTTCAAAAAACAGTAGTGAAGAGTGGAGTAGTGTTCAAGAAACATGAATTCCCCTTCAAAAAGCATTAAGATTTCTCTCTATTAATTTAGAATATTTTTACTTTTCTTTCTTTTTTTTTTTTTTTTTTTTGAGACGGAGTCTCACTCTGTCACCCAGGCTGGAGCACAATGGGGCATGGTCTTGGCTCACTGCAATCTCCACCTCCCAGATTCAAATGATTCTCCCACCTCAGCCTCCCGAGTAGCTGGGACTACAGACGCGTGCCACTACACCCAGCTAATTTTTGTATTTTTAGTAGAAACAGGGTTTCACTGTGCTGGCCAGGCTGGTCTGAAACTCCTGACCTCGTGATCTGCCCACCTTGGCCTCCCAAAGTGCTGGGATTACAGGCCTTTTTTACTTTTCAAAACTGTTCATTGTATAAGTAAAAAATAGTAATTTGCAAGTGGGCACCTAAATTTGGTGTTCAAATGATGTGATTCAGATCAATCTTGCTGAAAACAATTAAAAATGCTAGACTATAGGTAACAGTAATATATAGTTTCAAATAGCTATGGGGATATTGTACATTCCTAACAGAAAGAAAAAGAAGTGATAAATGTGTGAGATGATGGATATGCTAATTACCCTGATCTGATCACTATAATATGTTATATGTATTTAAGGACTACTATGTATCCCATGAATATATACAAATTATTATTCATCAATTTAACAAAATTAGAAAGAAAAAAATTTGCAGTGTGCCTTTTTTTTTTTTCTTTGAGACGGAGTCTTGCTCTATCACCCAGGCCAGAGTGCAGGGGCACGATCATAGCTCAGTGCAGTCTTGACCTCTCAGGCCCAAGCAGTTCTCCCACCTCAGCCTCCTTAGTAGCTGGGACTAGGTGCCACCTCATCTGGCTAATTTTTTTTTTTTATTTTTTTAGAGTCAGAGTTTTGCTATGTGACCCAGGATGGTCTTGAACTCCTGTGTTCCAGTGATTTTCCTACTTCGGCCTCCTAAAGTGCTGGAATTACAAGCATGAGTGATTATGCCTGGCCTGCCTTTTTGAAAGTATCGAAAAGTTGGCTAGAGAGTAAGGAACTACAAGGCAAAACATCTAAGTGAAAGTGAGAACTTGAAAAGAAAAGGAAACACTGAAACTCTCCTTGCCCTGAGAATAGCTGTCAAACTCAGCTCCAGTCTTCATGGCCTTACAAAGCTTGTTTCAAATGAATTTGAGCTTCAGTTTTCATGGCCTTACAAAGTGATGGGGACAGAAGTCAAGCAAATTTCAACAATGTTTGAAGGATTGAAATAACGTAAAGTTGTTTTCTTTTTTCTGATTACAATTCAATTAATCCAGAAACCAATAACAAAAGTGGGAAAAATCTGTGAATCTGGAAATTAAGAATTACATTTCTAGGCTGGGCGCGGTGGCTCATGCCTGTAATCCCAGCACTTTGGGAGGCCAAGGTGGGCGGATCACGAGGTCGGGAGTTCAAGACCAGCCTGGCCAAGATGGTGAAACCCTGTCTCTACTAAAAATACAAAAATTAGCCGGTCACGGTGGCAGGTGCCTGTAATCCCAGCTACTCGGGAGGCCGAGGCAGGAGAATCACTTGAACCCGGGTGGCAGAGGTTGCAGTGAGCCAAGATCGTGCCACTACACTCCAGCCTGGGTGATACTGTGAGACTCCATTTCAAAAAAAAAAAAAAAAAAAAAAAAAAGAGTCTAAATGGATACAGACAGTTTATTACTAACATAGACAGCATAAACAAGAATATTATGGTGTCAGCTCCCCACATCCTTAGTTCCACAGGATTACAGTGAACCAGAGGCTTCAGATGACAGATGGCATGAGCAGTGGGTTACTCTGTCATGGAAGAACTATTCCTATACTATGTCAAAGTGGTTCTATAGCCTGAAGTCGCACCATAAGAGAAGCAGCAAGATAGAAAATCCTGTGCCTCAGCAGAATAAGGAAGGTGGATGAGAACTGTCTTTTGGCAGCCTCCCATAAGATAGAGAGACAGAAAGAAACAGTCCTCACAAGACCACTTACCTTATATCCCAGGGAGAATTACAAGCCACTTAACCAAGATTTAGGTCAGCTTCCAGTTGAGCCTTGCCTATATAGCCTATGGAAAGATGGAAAAGATTATCAGGATGTCTCAGCAGAGGCATTCCCCTATAATCAAGAACAAATACTGAAAATTAAGGGAAATACCTTTGAACTCTATTTATACACAATAATACAAAAATTTTTTATTTTATTTATGACAATAACATTATAGTAATATTTAATAGGTCATTTGTCAAATTCGGTGTTATTAGAAATCTTTCAGGCACGGTAAATTAGCACTTTACCACTAGATGGCACATGACAAATACAGTTGTCCCGTGTATCTGTGGAGGATTGGTTCCAGAACCTCCCACGGTTACCGAAGTCTGCATATGCTCAAGTCTGTGATAGAAAATGGCGTAGTGTCTGCATATGTCCTACGGATTTCCTCCGGTATAATTTCAGTGATCTCTAGATTACGTATTAGAGCTAAGATAATGTAAATGCCATGTAAATAGTTGTTACATAGGCATAACTTGCTGATATCCCAGGTTCAGTTCAATATCCACACCATTGCAATAAAGCAAATATCGCAGTAAAGCAAATCACACAAATGTTTTGATTTCCCAGTACATATAAAAGGTATGTTTACACTGTACTGTGGTCTATTAAATATGCAATGGCACTATGCGTAAAAAAAAGGACATACCGTAACTTAAAAAATACTTTCTTGATAAAAATGCTAACAATCATCTGAGCCTTTAGTGAGTCGCAATCATTTTGCTGGTGGAAGGTGGGTCTTGACTGATGTTGATTGCTGATGACTGATCAGGGTGGTGATTACTGGAGGGTGATGTGGCTGTGGCAATACCTTAAAATAAGAACAACGAGGCCAGGTGCAGTGGCTTACATCTAAAATCCGAGCACTTTGGGAAGCCAAGGTGGGCAGATCGTTTGAGCTCAGGAGTTCGAGACCAGCCCGAGCAACATGGTAAAACCCCATCTCTACAAAAAATACAAAAAGAATTAGCCAGGCGTGGTGGCACAAGCCTGCAGTCCCAGGTACTCAGGAGGCTGAGGTTGGTGGATCTCTTGAGCCTAGGAGGTAGAGGTTGCAGTGAGCGGAGATCATGCCACTGCACTCAAGGCTGGGTGACAGAGGGAGACCCTTTTTCTAAAAAAAAAAAAAAAAAAAGAACAATGAACTTTGCCACATTTATTGCTCTTCCTTTCACAAAAGATTTCTTTGTACAACGTGATGCTATTTGATCACATTTTACCCACAGTAAAACTTCTTTCATGGCTCATGCCCATAATCCAGCACTTTGGGAGTCCGAGGTGGGTGAATCACAAGGTCAGGAATTCAAAACCAGCCTGGCCAATATGGTGAAACCCTGTCTCTACTGAAAATACAAAACTTACCCGGGTGCAGTGGCGAGCGCCTATAATCCCAGCTACTTGGGAGGCTGAGGCAGGAGAATTGCTTGAACCTGGGAGGCAGAGGTTTCAGTGAGCCAAGATTGTGCCACTGGCACTCCAGCCTGGGTGACAGAGCAAGATTCCATCTTGAAAAAAACAAACAAACCAACCAAAAAACTTCTTTCAAATTTTGAGTCAATCCTCTGAAACCATGCTGCTGCTCTGTCAACTAAGTTTATGGAATATTTCAAATCCTTTGTAATAATGTCAACAATGTTTACAGCATCTTCTCCAGAAGATACTATCTCAAGAAAGCACTTCCTTTGCTTATCTGTAAGAAGCAACTCCTCATCTATTCAAGATTTATCATGAGATTGCAGCAATTCAGTTACATCTTCAGGCTATACTTCTAATTCTAGTTCTCTTGTTATTTCCACGTCTACAGGTAACTCCTCCACTGATGTATTGAGCCTCTCAAAGTTATTCGTGAGGGTTGGAATCAAGTTCTTCCAAACCCGTGTTAATATGTTAATATTCTCCTCCCATGAATCACAAATGTTCTTTTTTTTTTTTTCTTTTTTCTTTTTTTTTTTTTTTAGAATGAGTCTTGCTCTATCGCCCAGGCTGGAGTACAGTGGGACGATCTTGGCTCACTGCAACCTCTGCCTCCCGGGTTCAAGCAATTCTCGTGCTTCAGCCTCCCGAGTAGCTGGGATTACAGGTGTGCACCACCACGCCTAGCTAATTTTTATACTTTTTAATAGAGATGGGGTTTCACCATGTTGGCGGGGCTGGTCTTAAACTCCTGACCTCAACTGATCTACCCGCCTCAGCCTCCCAAAGTGTTGGGATTACAGGCGTGAGCCACCGCGCCCAGCCACAAATGTTCTTAATAGCATGAATCACAAATGTTGATAATGGCTTCTAGAATGGTGATTTATTTCCAGAAGGTTTTCAATTGACTTTGCTCAGCTCCATCGAAGGATAACTATCTATGACATCTATAAACTTATGAAATTTATTTGTTAAATTATAAGACTTGAAAGTCAAAATTACTTCTTGATCCATGCATGGGCTGCAAAATGGATATTGTGTTAGCAGGCATGAACACAACATTCATCTCCTTGGACACCTTCATTAGCGCTCTTGGATGGATAGGTGCATTGTCATTGAGCAGCGACATTTTGAAAAGAATCTTACTTTTTCTGAGCAGTGTGTTTCAATAGTTGGCTTAAAATATTCAGTAAACCATGCTGTAAATAGACGTGATGTCATCCAGGCTTTGTTTTTCCATTTACAGAGCACAGGCAGAGTGGATGTGGCATAATTACTAAGAGCCCTAGGGTTATCAGAATGGTAAATGAACATTGGCTTCAACTTAAAGTCACCAGCTGCATTAATCCCTAACAAGAGATCCAGTCTGTCATTTCAAGATCTGAAGCCAGGTATCGATTTATTCTCTCTAGCTATTGAAGTCCCAGATGACATCTTCTTTTAATAGAAGGTTGTTACATCCACACTGAAAATCTGTTCTTCAGTGTAGCTACTTTATCAATGATCTTAGCTAGATCTTCTGGATAACTTGCTACAGCTTCTCCATCAGCACTTGCTGCTTCACCTTGCACCTTTATGCTATAGAGACAGCTTCTTTCCTTCAACTTTGTGAACCAACCTTTGCTACCTTCAAATTTTCCTTCTATAGCTTCCTCACCTCTTAGGATACGAAGGCTAGGGCCTTCATAGAGTTGAAGAGAATTAGGGCCTTGCTCTGGATTAGGATTTGGCTTAAAGGAATATTGTGGCTAGTTTGATCTATCCAGACCACTCAAACTTTGTCTATATCAACAATAAGGCTGTTTCACTTTCTTATCTTTCGTGTATTCACTGGAGTAGCACTTTTAATTTCCTTCAGGAGTGTCTCCTTTGTATTCACTATTTGGCTGTTTGGTGCCAGAGTCCTTGCTCTCAGCCTGTCTCGGCTTTTCATGTGCCCTTTTCACTAAGCTTATTCATTTTTGGCTTTAGATTTAGAGTGAGAGATGTGGGAGGACTCTTTCACTCGAACATTCAAAGGTCATTGTTGGATTATTAATTGGCCTAATTTCATTATTGTTTTGTCTCAGGGAATAGGAAATCTAGAAGAGAGGGAGAGAGACGGGAAAACAGCAGGGTGGTAGAGCAGTCAGAACACACACAACATTGATCAATTAAGTTCCCCCCTTTATTTGATTTTCTGAGATGGAGTCTCACTCTTTTGCCCAGGCTGTAGTGCAGTGGCACGATCTCAGCTCACGGCAACCTCTGCCTTCCGGGATCAACCAATTCTCCTGCCTCAGCCTTCTGAGTAGCTGGGATTACAGGCACACACCACCATACCCGCTAGTTTTTTTTAATTTTTTTTTTTTTAATTTTAGTAGAGACAGGGTTTCACTCTGTTGGCCAGGCTGGTCTTGAACTCCTGACCTCGTGATCCGCCTGCCTTGGTCTCCCAAAGTGCTGGGTCCTGACTTCATGATCCACCTGCCTTGGCCTCCCAAAGTGCTAGGATCACAGGTGTGAGCCACCGCACCTGGCCTAAGTTCCCCTTTTATATGGGCACAGTTTATGGCGCCCCAAAATAATTACAATAGTAACATCGAAGATCACTAATCACAGATCATCATAACAGATATAATGATAATGAAAAAGTTTGAAATAAAGCAAGAATTACCAAAATGTGACAGAGACACCAAGTGAGCACATGTTGGAAAAATGGCACCAATAGCCTTGCTAGATGCAGGGTTGCCACAAACATTAAATTTGTAAAAAATGCAAGATTTATGAAGTGCAATAAAGTGATGTGCAACAAAATGAGATATGCCTATATTGTATTATTTAGGGAATAATGACACAGAAAAAAAAAAGTCTATACATGTCCAGTGCAGATGGATTTTTTAAAAATCTTTTCAACTTTGAATTCACAGATGAAGAACTCATGGATACGGAAGCCCAGTTGTATTCATCCTCCATCTGGTCAGTATGGGAAGTTCTTTCTCTAACTTCAGAATTTAAAACCTGATTATCATTAATTCCAAAATGTATATGGATTTTAACTTTAAATATGATTACTGTGCAATAATTCTTTTTCTGAAAGTATTTTCCTCTTTGTTTGCTAAATTTACCTTTTAGTACTTTTTTCTTTTCTTTCTTTTTACTTTTTTTTTTGAGATGAGGTCTCACTTTGTCACCCAGGCTGGAGTGCAGTGGCGTGATCTCAGCTCACTGCAAACTCTGCCTCTCAAGTTCAAGTGATTCTCCCACCTCAGCCTCCTCAATAGCTGGGATTACAGGCACATGCCTGCCACCACGCCCAGCTAATTTTGTTGCTGTTGTTCTTTTGTTTTTGAGACAGAGTCTCGCTCTGTCACCCAGGCTGGAATGCAGTGGCTCCATCTTGGCTAACTGCAGCCTCTGCCTCTTGGGTTCAAGCGGGTGCAAGCAATTCTCCTGTCTAGGCCTCCTGAGTAGCTGGGACTACAGGGGCACACCACTACACTCAGCTAATTTTTGTATTTTTTAGTAGAGATGAGGTGTCACCATATCAGTCAGGCTGGTCTCGAACTCCTGACCTCAGGTCATCCACACGCCTCAGCCTCCGAAAGTGCAGGGATTACCGATGTGAGCCGCCACACCCGGCCCTAATTTTTGTATTTTTAGTAGAGATGGGGTTTCACCATGTTGGCCAGACTGGTCTTGAACTCCTAACCTCAGGTGATCCATCCGCCTTGGCCTCCCAGGTGCTGAGATTACGGACATAAGCCACTGTGCCCGGCCAATAATTTTTTTTTTCATTTAAAATGACTTGAAGCCTACAGAAAAGCTCAAAAAAACCCCACAGTGAACACCTGTGTATACTTGACCTAGATTTACCAATGATTAACCTATTGTTACATTGCATTCGGTATTGTATCTTTTTAATCTTCATTAATCTAGGATAGTTTCCCTGCCCACCCCACCCCCCGCTTTTTAAAAATAGTTAGATGGGTTCAGGCCTGCTGTCTTCTAGATTGTTCCACAATCTGGATTTAATGATTGATTCTTCAGATAAAATATTTTTGGCTAGTACTTAAATAGATGACGTGTGCTTCCCATTTCATCACATCAAAAGGCACATTTCAGTTTGTTTGTGCTATTATCGTGACATGAAGTTTAATCAGTTAAGGCAGAAGTATTTCAAATCACTCCATTGAAAATGCACATTTTTCTCTTTTATATTTAATTAGTAGCCTATGGGCAATACTTCAAAGTCCTGTGAATATTCTCTTCCCCACTGTTTTGCCTAATGGTTTTGGTAGGCATTGATGATTCTTGCCTAAATCTGTTATTATACTGATGGTTTCTTTCTTTTCTTTCTTTCTTTCTTATTTATTTATTTATTTATTTATTTGGAGATGGAGTCTCGCTGTGTCACCCAGGCTGGAGTGTAGTGGCACGATCTCGGCTCACTGCAACCTCCACCTCTAGAGTTCAAGCAATTCTCCTGCCTCAGCCTCCCAAGTAGCTGGGATTACAGGCACCTGTCACCATGACCAGCTAATTTTTGTATTTTTAGTAGAGACGAAGTTTCACCATATTGGCCAGGCTGGTCTCAAACTCCTGACCTCAGGAGATCCACCTGTGTCGGCCTCCCAAAGTTCTGGGATTACAGGCAAAGTGCTGGGATTACAGGCGTGAGTCACCGTGCCCGGCCTGTACTGATGGCTTCTAAATGGTCAGTTACAAATTCTTTCATTCTTTACACATGTATATTCTTTTAGAAAAAAGCAGTTTCTTTTCTGTTATTCTTCTGGAACAAAGCAGTTACCCTCTCCATTACCACTTTTTGTTTTTTATTATCACTGTGGACTCATGGATTTTTTTGTTCTATGTTTTATAGTCAACGACCATTATTATTCCTTTTGATGTTCAAATTGTACCAGATTTAGCCAGTGAGAGCCCTTTCAAGCCATCTCCTGTGTCTTTTTGATGTGTTCTCATCGTTCTTCAAGTGCTTTTGGGCTTATAATACAAGATACTTCAAGCTCACTTGTATTTTTCCTGCCCCTTATATAGCGTCAGCTCTTTTTCCAGTAAAACTTGGTTTCTTTTAGTAGGTAACAATATTTAGACACTAATAGCTGGGCATTAGTTGTACTCATTGCAGCTGGCGTATCATAATTGCTACTGGGATGCCATTGCCTCCTTTCTGTTGACGGACCTAGGAAGATTTGTCTTAGGAAATCATGAGTTCATACTAAAACTTCCAATTCAAATCTGTCACCACAGGTTTCTCTAGGATTCTCTTCACTTTCTGAGATTCATATTTGTATCTCCTTTCTCCTGTAGTGAGAACTTTGGTTCCAAAAAAAACACACACAAAAAATGCATTTACTCCTTTGTTCTAACCATGGCAAACATTATTTACTTCTACTCCTCATACATTTCTTGTATTTCCCTCTTATGTCATTCTAGAAAATTCCAGGAACTGAGTGGAGGCAAGTTTAACTCACTGAGTATCTGAAGAGTAAGAAAAAGAGGTTGAAGGAGGAACTTTAACCCCGGGGGCATTTTTTTAACACACAATTGGGATATCAGGTGTGCCCAAGAGGAATAGCACACCTGAAACCGTGGTTTCCTGTATTTGGATTCCTTAATTTTAATTTGCAACAAGAATGTGACAAACGTAACATAGTTAAAATGAAAAAAAATCCTGCTTAAAATACTGCCCTAATCTGCATGTGCCTAGGATTTTTGAAAGGCACGTGCACAAACATGGTGCTCTAGTATGCTGTCAGAAGCTGCAGGAAGGTAGGAGTACTATTGCGAAATGTAACCATCTTGGGTAAAGAGAAAATGGCCGACCTGTGGAAAGCTACACCCTATCTAATGGAAAAACAGTTGTTGCGTTGTATTATTCAATAAGTGATGCTGAAACAATCTGTGACCTATTGGGGGAAAAAAAATTTAATCCTACTGTATACCATATATCAAAATGAATTCTAGGTGGATTAAAGAGTTAATTGTAAAAAAATGAATATACACACGTGGTGTGTGTGTGTGTGTGTGTATGTATGTGTCATAGTTTTAGAATTTACTTCTCCAATAACATTACCAATAATAAAGATTCTATTTAAGTTTTCTGGTCAGAACCAAATGATGACGTTTGTTAAAAATACAGATTTCTGGGCTTGCCCCTAGCCTGCCAAAACAGAATACTTGGGAACAGGTCCCCTCTAGTCCTCATTTAAAAAAATGAACACTCCAGGTGATTTAGAAGAACTCCAATGTTTGTGATTCAATGATGTTGTGATGAGGAGCTTGAGCTCTGGGTAAGAAAGGTTGGTGTCCTTGTTCCATTACTTTATCTCTTCAGTTTCTTCATCTGTGCAACGTGATGATAACAGTCTTTTCAGGTTCATCACCTGGTACTTAGAAAAGTGCCTGGCCTATAGTAAATACATAGTAAAGGTACTGATCTTTTTTATTATAAGATATTGAACTGAATTGCCACATACTTCCTATCTGGCAAAAATTAAATTAGTTTTAAAAGCAGTTTATGTCATGATGTAACGTTGTAAAGTTTTTCTGAAGTGAATACATTTGTGAAAATAGAAGTAAACATTTTCTGAAAGCTACACTGTACGGATAAATGTGCATGATCAGTTGAGATATACGAATATATGTTTATATATTTTACAATTAAGTATGTATTTCTTTACTTCTTCCACCCATTGGGAGTCCAGTATTTTGGGGCAGATCAGGTAACAACTCTAATGATAATGTTACCCAAAACTGATGGAAAAAAGAAGAATAACTTCGACAAAATACTTTTATTTTTGCAGCCTGTGCATATTATTACATTATGAACTTTTAAAGGGAGGATGGACTATTTTTTATTCACTTTTATAATCCCTGTCTCCAGCACCATATTTTGACTGTGGTGATACAGGCATACCTCACTTTGTGGCACGACACATATTTGTGGGATGAATGAATCGTTCTTTCTCTCTTTTTTATTGTAGGAAAAAATATGTAATAAAAAATTTCCACTTGATTTTAACTGTACAGTTTGGTATCATTGAGCAGATTCATATTAGAACAGGGTTCTACTGACAGCATTGTACCAAGTGAGGGGACCAGAAAAATTTCTGCTTTTCACTGCGGAATGTCATTTGAATCAGAAATCTTCTTCTGGGGACTTTGTTATTTGAATTTCTAACTTTCCTTATTACTTGGCTGGGGAAAAACGCATACTGAACAACAAAATGGTAATGATCATCCTCAGAGACTAGACCTTGTCAATGTTCTCTGATGCCTAGTAGGACCACTGCAGGGAAAAAAAAGTTAATGGGACTGTTGCTAGGAGACGGGAGAGCCAAAAGCTCATAGTCTTGTAGGGGTTCCTCTGGAAATCAAGGCAACTTCAGTGTGTTTTGGATTAGAGGTTTAGCTATTAAAATCTGCCCTTTGATGAGCATGCACATTTTAGCATATAATGTTTAGTATGATTTCATGTTTTTGGAGAATTCTTGAGGATAATCTCAAGGCCTTTCATTTCTTTCCATAGGGATAATCCCTTTTTCAGAGCACATCTCATTTGCAAGTGGCTGTTGCGCTGCTGTTTGCCCCCACTCCTTCAGTGCGACAGACAGCCTCAGAGCTGGTGGGGAGAGAGCATGCCGCTGGTAAGTCGCTGAGAAATATTTTGTAAAATAGATATCCAGACTAAGATTTTTAAAGCGAGTGACATGTTTTGATGGAAGAGAATAATGCAGAACTGTGTAGGAATCCCTGATTCTAATCGGCAGCATTGGGAAATGGATTAATTAAATTCTAAATATCACCTGGTCATTTTTCGAGTTTAAAGCTTGTTTCTGAAATGACGGAGTTGCTAGGAGGAAATATAGAAACTTCCCCCTTGTGATTCTTGTAAAATATTTCCTAAAATAAGATTTAATGAAGATGTTACGAAATTGGAAAATTGCTTTCAGAATTGTACCTCAGCTTTATGATATTTGTATTTGACGTGATGAAATGGGTTAAGATTCAAGATGTTTTCAAACCTGGTTTATTTTCTCAGTGCTGGGAGACCATAAGAAAAATGTTATTTTGCAATGCAGGAAAGGATACGATGCCTTATTTTTTAAATTAAGAAAGTCGTGTGACGGGATGTCTGTACTAGAGAAAAAATGAGGAAGGGGGCAGCTTGTAATAATGTTCAGATTGATTGCTTCATGTGAGATATGAACGTGTATTCAATGAGAAACATTAAAATTTGGCTTTAGGATGAAAAAATCATGAAAAAGTAATAATGAATATTATGATTGTGCCTTCACTGGAAAAAATTCATTTGTATTTTTGGACAGCAATTTATACAGTAAAGACAGAGTGTTCTCAGTGCTTCTTTTTTTGAAAAGGGATGTGAGACAGATAGCAGAGATTCTTATCAACAAAGCTTTTGTTTGTTTCTGAAACATTCCTGAAAATGTCTATGCTTTTGTAGCTCTGTTTCTGCAAGAAAAATGGGGGAAAAAAAAAAAAACAAGTGAAGTGGGGGTTTATTTCTTTGAAATTAAAATTGACCCTTGAACATGAGGAAAAGAAAAATGATAGATAAATAGATTCGATTTTTAGTTAGATGACAAAACAGCAGCAATCAAAGAGGAAAAATAAGAATGAAAAAGCTTAAAAGAAAGTCCTCAAGATGGGCCATTTCCCAAGTTGAACATGTCTGCTGGTAGCATGTTTTGCAGAGGGAAAGGGAGAGAACATACTGGAGGCAAAGGGAGGGGGTGTTGAACAGAGCACTGCGGCAAAGAGAGTGACTGACGCATCCAGGGACATGTGACCATTCTCTGGTGTAGCGAAGAAAATTTGCCAGGACTCCATCTTGTATAAGAAATTCTATACATCCTGACATGCAAATAATGCTATAATCTTCCTGTAGTACATAATGAGCTCGTTTTGCGTGATCCTCTGCTGGCCTATACTGGTATTTTGTCTTTGCTTCTACACCCTCCTCTCTGTGCTTCCGGTGCTTTTACATACTCACTAAAATATTAAAAATGATGTTTTCCCCTTTATTATAAAAATATCATAGTCATTGTAGTAAATTTTGAATAATTTAAAGATGACTATAAAAATTACCCATAATCCCATAACTTTAGAGATAATTACTGTTAATCTTATTACTGTCAGTCTCTTTTCTCTGAATATATGCAAATAAATGCATAGAAATATATATTTTATAAAAATGAAGATCACATGTACATACAATTTTTAGCCTGTTTTATCCATTAAATATATATTGGGAGCAATTCCCCATATTTTAAAATATTTCACAAGAATGTGATGTTTTGTGGATGTATAATTTTCTATCATATAGATGTCCCACTAAATGTCTGATTATTGAATGTTTATATGTACATTATTTTTGCTGTTATAAATAACTGAAGGAATATCTTTCCATATAAATCTCTATGTGCTTTTCTGGTTTTTTCTCCCTAGGAAAAATTCATAGACATGGAATTCCTGGATCAAATGGTATGAATCAGTTTGAGGTTTCTTCCTCCCAACACCTATCATCTAATTCATTTATTATATGTGGTATAAACATTATTTTCCAGCCATTGTTTTCCCATTAATTTTTACCATTTATGGTGGTGATTTTTTTGATATTTTACAGTTTTACATGTTAGATTTCCATATCTGACCATTTTAAGTGTTGTGATTTTTTTTCTTTCCTTTGATTAGTGTATTCACCTGTATTTTTTCTAGTTATTTAATTGCTTCATTTTTTTACAATTAACTCTTTAATCCACCTAGAATTCATTTTGATATATGGTATACAGTAGGATTAAATTTTTTTTCCCCCAATAGGTCACCGATTGTTTCAGCATCACTTATTGAATAATACAACGCAACAACTGTTTTTCCATTAGATAGGGTGTAGCTTTTCACAGGTCGGCCATTTTCTCTTTACCCAAGATGGTTACATTTCGCAATAGTACTCCTACCTTCCTGCAGCTTCTGACAGCATACTAGAGCACCATGTTTGTGCACGTGCCTTTCAAAAATCCTAGGCACATGCAGATTAGGGCAGTATTTTAAGCAGGATTTTTTTTTCATTTTAACTATGTTACGTTTGTCACATTCTTGTTGCAAATTAAAATTAAGGAATCCAAATACAGGAAACCACGGTTTCAGGTGTGCTATTACTCTTGGGCACACCTGATATCCCAATTGTGTGTTAAAAAAAAATGCCCCCGGGGTTAAAGTTCCTCCTTCAACCTCTTTTTTTTACTCTTCAGATACTCAGTGAGTTAAACTTGCCTCCACTCAGTTCCTGGAATTTTCTAGAATGATATAAGAGGGAAATACAAGAAATGTATGAGGAGTAGAAGTAAATAATGTTTGCCAGCCTGTTGCTGGTCGCAGTTTCACGTAGGGTTTTAAAGGAGCTAGGGTGAGTCCTAATCCATGCCACCACTGCCATTACCTCTCCTAGACAGGGACACACCCCAGTGGGCCACGTCTTTTTACTGCAGGTGTAAGGCTCAAGACATAAAGCAAGGAGTTTTTTAGTAGGAGATGGGTTAAATATTGCCCAGAGAGATCTGACAATTAAAATCACTTGCTGCCTATTACCAACCTTCTCCTGGGCCCCCAACGAAGCTTTCTTTCTCTGTTGACTTCTGCTCCGGGCCTCTAGCTTTACTAATTCTGGAAGAAAAAAAAAGGGTGGGGCGGGGGCGCGTGAGTGGGAGGCTGCCTTGCCCGCGGTTATTGCAAGGGGCTCCTTTGGCTGACAGCCTCAGTCCCAGTAGTTTCCTGACTTGCCGCATTAGACTGTGTTTTGTTTATGAGGAGGTTGGTTTCCCTGGCAATGGCAGCTCGCCAGGGCATGCGCATTTGCTCCACTGCAGTAGCAGAATGCGGCTGTGAGGCCAGGGGAGGGGTCCTGAGGGCCGCAGTGGCTGGAGTTATTTGGCAGACATGACGTCAGTTTTTCTGAGTTAAGCTGTCATCGTTATTGTATATGGAGCATTTTTTTTTTTAAATAAAGCTTAGAAGGCTTTTAGCCGCTCCTTTTCTTTCCTCCCAAATTAACGGCTCTCTATATGCTCACCAGTGACTTTTTAAGGTTTGAGGCCACCGATGCCTCAGGGCCCCGAGGGGAATCATAATAGTATGAGAACAGGAAACAGACTGCCTGGTTTCAAGCCCCGGCTGCTTGCTCGCTGCATGGCTGTGGGACGGTTACTTAAATCTCTCGGGTTCCTCAGATGTAAAACGGGGATGCTAACAGCATGTTTAGAACAGCGCCTGGCACGTAGTAACCATTATGTAAGTGTTGTCTATTATTGTTTGTAGATACTAAGGGAGACTTGCCTGGAAGCAGACTTTTGTATCCGCAGTGTACAAACTCATCCTTTAATGCGCACACTGGCCGGATAACACAAACACACATTTACTCCCACAGCACACAGACTCTTCACAGTACACACACTTGCCTTCCAGTACACAGACATATCCAAAGGCACACCGACAAGCACCACAGCAGAAAGATTTTCCCCAGAACACACGGACACCCCACTCCCCGTATCACTAGACTCTCCCAGAGGCACATATGTACTCCTTCATGCAGAGACTCACCTAAGGCACACTGACGCACCCCACACATAAGGACTCTACTATGACACACAGACAATCCCAGCATCACGCACTGTTCCCACATCACACGAACCCTTTCTAGGAGACACACAGCATGCAGACTTACCCCATAGAACATGGCTTCCCCGACAAGCACACATACTCTCAAGGCCAGTAGCCTCACCCCAGAGCACATAGACTTTCTCCAGAGTATACAGCTTCTTCCCACAGGAAACAGACTCTCCCCGGGGCACACAGACACCCCTGAGGTCACACACTCTCACCACAGATCATAGACTCATCTTAGAGCACAGGGACTCTTGCCAAGAAATAGACTTTTCCGAGAACAGACTCATGAGACAGCTTGAAGCCCCGCATTGCAACGCAGACTCTCCCACAACAGACAGACTCACCCCATTGTGTACAGACAAGCACCACAGGCCACAGACCATCACATCAGGACACAGACTTGCCCAGCACTACACAGACACTCCCCAGAGCACGTAGAATCACCCCACAAAGCACAGACTAAACCCATACTACAGAGACTCCCCCTATAGCTTTCAGACAAGTTTACCCCACCACGAAGACATGTGACAGTACGTCTTACAACATCTATCACTCCTTGATGCACAGGATTGGGCCACAGCACACAAACTTGTCCTACAGTGCACAGATTCCTGTCACAAAAGACACACTCACCACACAATACAAATACTTGCTCCAGCCCGGCGTGGTGACTCACGCCTGTAATCCCAGCACCTTGGGATTACAAAGTAGCACAAGCTGCTGCCTATAAAACAGGAGATGCCCAGCCATGCACAGAAATTCACCAAAATGCACAGATTCACCCATCAATATAAATACTTGCCTCACAACTCACGCAAACACCATCGAGCACTGAGACTCACCCTAAGTGTACACAGAAGCCCTTCGGGGCACAGACTTACTCTGTAACATACCACAGACTTACTCTGTAACATACTGAATCATATCCGCCACACTTAGATGTGCCTTATGATTCACAGTGATGCGTGTAAACGCATAGATTGCTTCCACAATGCACAGAATTGCATCATAACACAGACTGAAGTCCACAGTGCAAAACCGACGGTGCACATAAACATTTCCCAGTCGGTAGACATACAACACACATATTGCCCCTCCAATGTAAAGATTTCCATCATGGTGGACAGATGTGCTTTTCCATGCTGTTGAGCTACAACTCTGGCCTACGACAACAGAAATACAGCTTGTGTAATAGTTACCAGCAAGGCCTCTAGACCCATACTAACTGGGTTTGAATCAAGGTCCCATCCCTTGCTGATTGTATCACCTCGGGTAAGTATATTTCTTTGTTCTTTAGTTTGTGCAACTGTAAAACAAAGATAACAGTAGTGCCTACTTCAGAGAGTTGTTGTGAATAATAAATACATTAAGATTTGTTAAGTGCTTAGTACACTGCCTGGCACATACTGACAGTTAGAATTGTTAATTTATATTACAGCCATCACTGTCATTACTACCAAAACAAAAAAAGGCCTACCCCAGACGTCTAGAATCATCTGACAACACGAAGGCTCACCATATACTCTATAGATTAGCTCTAGAACATCTAGAAACACTCGACAGCACACAGACACCCCGCCATAGTACCCACATACCCTACAGACCGGAACCCTAACCAGACATCACTCACAACACACAGAATTGCATCACAAGTAAGAACTTTGTGCACAGGCTTGCTCTATAACACATCCCACAATACCCAGACTGGAAGCCAGGCTGTGTGTTGTACCCAGCCTTGCCCCACAAGGCACAGGCCCACAACACACACACACACATACACACACACACCCTAACCTCATAGATATGCCCTACATCACACAAACACACCTTATCACACACATATTTTTGTTTCACAACATGTGGATACCCCTGCTCTTCACAAACATGTTCCAAAATACATGCTCCTAAAATTGGCAGCATCACATGATAATACAGAGCCCCCATTCCACAACACATTTTTTTTGTTTTGTTTTGTTTTTGTTTTTGTTTTTGTTTTTGAGACGGCGGCTCACTGTGTCGCCCAGGCTGGAGTGCAGTGGCGCAATCTCGGCTCACTGCAGCCTCTGCCTCCCAGGTTCAATCAGTTCTCCTGCCTCGGCCTCCCGAGTAGCTGGGACTACAGGCACGTCCACGCCTGGCTAATTTTTTATATTTTTAGTAGAGATGGGGTTTCACCATGTTGGCCCGAATAGTCTTCATCTCCTGACCTCAGATGATCTGCCCACTTCAACCTCCCAAAGTGCTGGGATTACAGGCGGGAGCCACCATGCCCGGCCACAACACATTTTACACTTATCTCATACTTGTCTCATAAAGAACTACATGCCCCACATCACCTAAGCTGCCCGTAAATCTGACTTGCCGAACACTACCACACATATGACCAGGCCCCACACTACACAGATTTGCTCTGTAATCCCTAGATAAGTCCTACCATGCAGAGATAGCCCCCTAAACAGAAAACCATCCTAAATGCACAGTGTCACATCACAACAGACACACAAACTCATCCCATAACATGCAGACTTGCACGAAAACACGCAGACTCCCACAAAGCAAACCCATGCCCACAATGCTAAAACCTACCACACAGTGCCCAGATTGGCACAAGACAAAGACTAGGCTCAACTCATCTAGTCTCAACCCACATGATACAAAACTTGCTCTACAATGGTTAAAAGCTTATACTCAGGTCTCGGACTGCCTGAGTTCCAATCCCACATGCATCACTTATTAGTTGTGTGACCTTGGAAAGATTTCTGGAACTCTCTGTGCCCTAGTTTTCTCAACTATTTGTTAGGAATAATTATGTAATAGGGGTACTTATCTCTTATAGCTGTTAAGAGGAATAAACGGGCTGGGTGTGGTGGCTCACACCTATAATCCCAGCACTTTGGGAGGCCGAGACGGGCGGATTACCTGAGGTCGGGAGTTCGAGACCAGCCTGAGCAACATGGAGAAACCCCGTCTCTACTAAAAATACAAAATTAGTTGGGCGTGGTGGCGCATGCCTGTAATCCCAGCTACTCAGGAGGCCGAGGCAGGAGAATCGCTTGAACCAGGGAGGCAGAGGTTTCGGTGAGCTGAGATCATGCCATTGCACTCCAGCCTGGGCAACAAGTGTGAAACTCCGTCTCAAAGGAAAAAAAAAAAAAGAGGAATAAATGAGTTAATGCCTATAAAGTGTTTAGAGCAATGCTTAGTAAAGAGTTAACATTACTGGTGTTAGCTGATCAGGTTGTCATTGTTACTCCACACGGAACTGGAGCATAAAGGTAAGACTCAATCTAAAACAACTCGAATCAACCCACAATGCATCGAATATCCCTCAGAAAGCACAGAATCGCATCACAATGAATACTCTCACCACTCTTTTCCTATAACACCCATACTGAGTGCACCTATTTTTTTTTTTTTTTTCCGGATGGAGTCTGCTCTTGTCGCCCAGGTTGGTGTGCAGTGGCGTGATTTCAGCTCACTGCAACCTCCACCTTCTGGGTTCAAGCAATTCTCCTGCATCAGTCTCCCAACTAGCTGGGATTACAGGCCCACCACCACACGTGGCTAATTTTTGTACTTTTAGTAGAGACGGGGTTTCGCCATGTTGGCCAGGCTGGTCTCGAACTCTTGACCTCAGGTGATCCACCCATCTCTGTCTCCCAAAGTGCTGGGATTACAGGCATAAGCCACCGCGCCCAGCCTGACTGCACCTATTCTGTAATGCCCAGAAGCATCTATTGTATAGAGTTTCTACATAGCACCTAGACTTGTCACACAACACCTAGACACACTACAGTGCGCAACATACCCATGAAACAAAAACTCATTCATGCAGAGTCATCTCAGTTTAAGCAAATGCACCGTATCATACACATACATGCCCTCCAATACACATACTCACCCCAGAACACCACGTTGGCTCCACAACGCAAGGAACTCACTTCAAAATCTCTAGAAACAATCCACAAGCCATAGACTTCTCCAATATTCAGAACAGCATCTCACCACGTAAACGTGACTACAATTAACAGACAAGAAACCAGGACGTGCCCCATAACACATACATTATCCCCATGACATAAATGCTGGTCCAGCAAAATGCTGTCTTGCCTATACAACACTAAGATGTGCTTCGTAAAATACAAACTTGTTTGATAACACAAATTAAAATATTTCAACATGCACATATATACTCCATAACACACAGACTTGCTCTACAACACATCGACACACCCCATATCACCTAGACTTGACCCAAAACACATGACAATACCCGATAAACAGTCACTCCTGTTTTTTTTTTTTTTTTTTTTTGAGATGGAGTCTTGCTCTGTTGCCCAAGCTGGAGTGTAATGGCGCGATCTTGGATCACTGCAACCTCCACTTTTCAGGTTCTAGCGATTCTCCTGCCACATCCTCCCTAGCAGCTGGGACTACAGGTGTGCACCACCATGCCCAGCTAATTTTTGTATTTTTAGTAGAGACTAGGTTTCATTTTGTCTAGGCTGGTCTCGAACTCGTGACCTCAGGTGATCCACCTGCCTCAGCCTCGCAAAGTGCTGGGATTACAGGCATGAGCCACTGCGCCTGGCCTCAGTCTCTCCCTTTAACACACAGACTGGCCACACAAAATAGCCTCTTCCTGCTACAACTTCCCTCACAGCAGCACATCCCACAAAGGATGGTCCACATACAGAGAAACACAGTATGCAGATATGTTCTGCAACACACAGCCTTCCTGGACAAGACCTAGACTCGTCTGGAAACACCCAGATCCATTTTACATCTTAAAGACTCACATCCCAGGCCAGGTGTGGTGGCTCATGCCTGTAATCCCAGCACTTTGGGAAGCCGAGGTGGGCAGATCACGAGGTTAGGAGTTCGAGACCAGCCTGGCCAACATGGCGAAACCCCGACTCTACTAAAAATACAAAAATTAGCCAGGCATGGTGGCAGGCACCTGTAATCGCAGCTACTCAAGAGGCTGAGGCAGGAGAATCGCTTGAACCTGGGAGGCGGAGTTTGCAGTGAGCCAAGACCACACCATTGCACTCCAGCCTGGGTGATAGAGCGAGACTCCATCTCAGAAAAAAAAAAAAAAAGACTCAAATGCCAGATTAGTTTGCCAACCCATGGACATGCTCCACAATGCATAGACAGAACCACAATGCATGGACATGCGTTACCACACATGGAACTACACAGACTCTACCTTTAACACACAAATGGTCTCCATAAAAAACTTAACTTGTCTCTTCAAAACTTAGCTTAATATCAGAAGAAATGCTCAAAAATACACATAGACTCAACAAGGCATAGACATACCCCCTTCAACTAGCCTTGTCCCTTAACACCGAGACTCATCTGAAACATAGATTCATTATGCCACACCTAGAATGGCCCCCCAGAACCCAGACTAATTCCAGAACACCCAAATAGGAGCCACAGTGTATGGACATAACTCTACATATACAAATCCTTCCTACAACATAACAACTAATCCCACACAACAGTTTCTTGCTCCACAACACCAACACTGACCTCCCTGTGCATAGAATTGCTGAACAATACAGGCACTTCTACAATTACAGATATGATTCACAATACTAAGACTTGCTGTAACACATGCCAACTTATCCAAGCCACACAGAATCACAACATTATATGTATTATCAGACATGTCCATATATTTTGGGGACAACTGAATTTACCCCATGACACCCAGCCTTCCCCAAAATACATGGACATGTCCCATAATACATATAATTTTGAGACAACAAAGACTGGTCCTGAAAAATAGGTTTTTTATTTCATAACACCAACACTTAGCTGAGAGCACACAGAAATGCTGAGCAAAACATGCATAAAACCCTATGATGCATAGACATGCCCTACAACATGCAAAGTCACTTCATAACACACAATCTCACTGCAACACTCCAACCCGGGGACTCACCCTGAGACGCTCGGACTAACACATCACATCCAGATCTACCCTCACCTAACCCTAATTGCCCCATGTCACCAGACTTACATTGCAGTAGCCAGACTTGACCTGCAATAGTCTGATTTGCCCCATAACAGCTAGACAAGACTATCCACACAATACATACAAAGACCCCCAAAATGTTTGCTTGTCTCCACAACACTGACAGTTTCTTTCTTTTTTTTTTTTTTTTTTTTTTGAGACAGAGTCTCACTCTGTCGCCCAGGCTGGAGTGCAGTGGCCGGATATCAGCTCACTGCAAGCTCTGCCTCCCAGATTCCCACCA